CTATCCATTGGCAGTTTTTTTTATTGAGCGAACTTCAGGAAAGACTTGAATAAATTCTCACCTCTTGCGGACCCTTTTATTGGTAGAACCGCAAGACTTTCTTCGCGCAGTGTATCACCGGCAGTATATCTTGCAATCACACTGAACTGCGTCAAATAGCTTACGTCTGTTGACTCATTCAAAGTCAGGAAAAAGAACGGCGCTGCATTTATATCTTTCACTTGAGTTTCCTCCACATGGGTTGCCATCATGATGGTACGCTCACGAACAGTTTTTGCCGACAGAGGCATGCTATGTATCCGTTTGATTCTCTTGTCTTTCTTCGGGAGATCACCAAAACATTTTAGCCTACTTGCCCTCTATGAATGGTTTTCCGTTCCTCAGTATTGCTTAAGATCCAGCAAAACTAGCAGAGTTATAGTCACCTTGCTGGGTCCATACGCGGAGTTGCTGCTGGCTGGCTTGCACCTTGCTAATTGGATATTGGCATGCCTTCTTTCTACTATCTTCCAAAGGGTATTTTGGTGCAAAGGTATCATGGCATGTGTTGAAGTGGCGTTTCACATTGGACTATTTCATCGATGTAATCCTGTCATTGCAAACTAGACACACAGCATAACCTGCTCTCTCCACAAAGACGAATTCTTCGGCCCATTTGTCCTGAAATGTACGATACTCCTTATCTCTTTTTTCTTTTCGCAATCTTCTTTGTTGCAGGGGTTAGCTTTGGGCAAATGAGAGAGCGTGTTTAGCGGTCAAGGATGTGCAATCTACTAACGCCACTACACTTCGAGTATTCCGTTTGATGAAAAAAGCAGTCAGATGTTAGGAGAGATTTATTAGTAAACAAGGCAAGTGCCCGCGAATGGACTATTTGCTTGCATGTGATAAATGCGTCCGTCTGGGGGACATAAACCCAAGGGGCAATAGGTGACAAAGCAGGCTGGCCTATCGCGTAAGATAGCCTTGTCTGCCAGCGTGACTTTGACTAAGCTGAGGTCAAGCCTGGGGGCTGTCGTGCTTTAGTAGAGCGTCTGTTATTTAGCGAGCTTGTCACGACCGTTGGGACACAAGAGAAAAGGGAGGCAGCTGCTGTCGGCTAGCCGGAAAGGGAACACTGAAATAACTGCTAGGTCAAATCTAGGGGAGGAGGGGCAGAACGCCAGAGATTGGTCGAGATTAAATTGATTCTAATGCGCGTCTCGGCAGCGGCACTTCATTGGAGGAATCAAAATCACAAAATCTGAAGTTCCTAATTCCAATTTCAGCTGAGAGAGCCAGACGCAATCACCAAAAGAGCCACACCTGGCTCGCGAGCCATAGGTTGTCGACCCCGGTTCTAGACTGTGAAAGTCCGCATGCGCTGCGACATCATCATGGGAATTTCTCAGATTGAAAAGTAAGTTTGGCAAATAATTGTTTTCGGTCAGTCATCTTACGGCCTATACACTGATATGGAGAATAAAATAGTCAGTTATGTACAGGGGTTATATAGTTCTTGGAGTTGGAGGGGATTGTTTGGTAATCTACTCGTTCCCACATCGCCTATGTGACGGAGTCTGTGTGTTGAGGACATTGGGATTCGGAGTGCAGGAGAGGGAGGAGACTGTGATTTGAGTCTGTGCGTCATACCCTCGGAGTATGTGTGACAGTTCTCCGAGGCCTGGAGCGGCGTGGGATTACCACATGTATCAACGTCTTTTGACAAAAGAGCACTAGTTTTGGTAACCGAATCGTCCCTGCATCGGCTGTGGCTAGCATCTGTTGGTGTAGGTCTTTAGAGTAGAATGCTGTTTCCCGATAGAGGACTTGAAAGGCCTCTTTCAGTTAGCTTGGCGGTTCGTATCAATTAGGTGTGTGAGAATTAAACACGAAATCGATCGATTTCCCTCTCTGCCTAGCCAGGCGGGTACGTGTTCACGTGTCCTCTTCTCCAGGCACCTCGTTGTTCGGTCAACATATCCCGATTCACAGGAGCAGGTGAATTAATAAAGACACATAGATGTGGCCTGCAACGGTAGTCGGTCTTTATCCCCAGCCGTGGGAGGAGGGAGATTGCAAAGAATACGCTTAAGTTCGCCAAGAACAATATAATCCCTGTAAATAACTGACTAATTTATTCTGCATGTCGATGCGTGGGTTCGACAAAGGATTCTAACAGTGCCCTTGTCCACCGAAAAAGGAACTTGTACGCATTTTAGAAAAAATAGAGGAGTTTGTATTATTCTTCCATTCACCAAGAAGTGTTACCACAAGGGGACTGGACATCGCGATGGCCGTTTCCAGTATATTTGTCATCGCCAGCCAACCATAGCTAAATCCAGGTTCAAAATATCTGTTCAAAAGACAGTTATCTGGTAAATAGGTTGGTGCAGGAGGCAATGAATCAGGTGGTAGTGACTTCTCAGTTTACCCTTATTATGACTAAAACCGATGTTACATCCTGGTACGTGACATCTCAGTCGCGTGGGTTGCCGAATCAGCAATTTTATGTAAAACTTGAGACGATAGCAAATACTTGGTAAGTTACTGCGCCCACTTCCATCTCCAGTTTACCTGAGCTTGTGTAGCGACCGCAACATGATCGAGGATGACGCTACGCAAGTTATAATTGTTCCTCCTGAACTATTTAGTCAATCGTACTGGACAGAGGAGCTATCGGCTGACTGGGTAATAGTGCAAAACCCGGGTTCCGATACTGAACACCTGACTGATTTGGATGACGCAGAACATGAACAGGAGGGCGAAATTAATTTCAGTTTTGGCTACGCAGACGGCTTTCTTCTGTTCGCAGCGGTCTATTTACCCCTCAGAGGGAATGTGATTATTATGGACGCACAACCAAATTGTGGCGATAAATAGCATACATAAAAAAGAAAGTTTCGAACAAAATTTAACGAAATCGATATCACTGCCCAGGGAGGTGACCAAGTCAAAGAAGGCTGAAAATACGTACCCGCAAACCCTGCACCTCGCCGAAGATACCCTCAAGAGTCGCTTCGCCGTCCTCAGAGAGACTTTTCTTGTCCTTTAGAAAGGCTTCCAAGGCACGCGGTTGTTGGGGTGATTTTTCATTGTGGGCTCGACAACTAATTATGTTTGAATAAGGCTTCCGGTGCTATATTTGTAAAACGAATAAAATACCTTTTACAATGACAACGGCAGACCTAAAGCTGGGTGAGTGCCAATGATTATAGCTAGAAAAGGCGATTTAGGTAAATAAAAAAGCGCCAGATAACTGATTAAAAAGCCATAACGTGGGGCAGGCAACACATCTTGGCAGACAGGTAAACTAACAAAACTATGGTTGGAGGCCAGCACGGCTAGGAATTACCAAATACTACAGCGTTAATATATGCTTCGCGAGTTTCAAAAACTGAGGGGAAAGTGGACAGC